GTATAAATTACTAATCTTTTATATAAAATCAATTGACAGATCTCAGACAGCCAGCGATAAGACAAAAATCTCTGAACGAATACCAGAGACCGGTCAGATTCCATTCAGTCGTTCGAGGATTAACGCAATCGCCGAAGCATCTAGTTATACTCGCGCAGATATTCCTCGAACGAGGAACGAATCAGACAAGCGCCTCCGTGTGGTAATGATGATAATGATGATGAATGTGCTCGTGTACGTGCTTGCGACCGGAGCTCGCAGCCGCGTTCTGCGAGAACTCCCTTTCCAGCCAGCGCACGACCTGAACCATGGCTCTGGCGTGGTCCTGTTCCCTGGTCGCGTGCTTCAGCTGGTGTTTCTTGCTCGACTTACCGCTCTGCTGCGTTTGGCCGAACTGCGCCGTTTCATTACGTTGAACGTTATGATTGCTCGGCGGCGTTTGATTGATCGTGTGTTGATTATTCGCTATCAGGTTGGCGCCGTTCCTGTTTGCGTTAGGAGTGGCAGTGGTAGTTTGCTGCTCCGCGTACGGTCCGTTTGGGCTGATCACGGTTCTCGGTAGAACTTGAGGCTGAACGTACGCCCGGGGAGGTTGCACAGTGGTGTTGTTCCTTTGAAGTCCGTACTGCGTTCGCGTTTTTCTCAGATTCCCCCGTGATTTAGCAGGTAGCTTAGAGAACGATGTGAAGCCTTGAGGCTTTTCCCGGTTCGGCTTGTGATAAGTCGTAGCTGCGGGCCGGGATTCCGGTGAGCGACAGTCTTGGTTGTAGTGCGGGGAAGAATCGACGTTCGGCGTCTGCGATGGTACACGCATTTGCTCGTTCTGATGCCGTTTCCTGAATATGTATACATGAATGTTATTTCTGTCCGGTTATTTTTTAAGTTAAAAATACAGTCACCGTAGTTTTTTTTTAAATAAAAGTTTATAATAAAAACACACTTTTAAATTTATGCAAGTGTATAAAAAGAATAAACAAACACATCGCCATAAGAGTAAAGGAAGGAATATCGTAAAATAACTATACTTGAAATTATATACGATGAATGGAGATATTTAAGTATACTTTCATCTTTTCCCTTTAAAAGAGAGAATGTCACGATTTTCTGTGCGGTTGAACGCGAATGACGACGTACCTTGACGTATGAAAACTGAGATTATTCTTCTCCATGTTCGCCTGAATAATTTCCAAGAGCTGTTGCCTTTGTAGGGCACCGCTACGCTTTCGTTGATTAGTCGTGAGGAGAGGCGTCAAGGGGGAAACTGCGGGGGAGACGTCACTGTCATCGCTAATATCACCCTCGGAGCTATTGGAATAGGGTGACGGTAAATGAGGCACGGGTCCCACCCTTCTGCGTAATTCCTCCTGCTTTATTCGATTCGTTCGCGCGTTTTCACCGTCATCCTCGCTATGGGTATCCACCTCCTTCTGTTCGGTCTAAAATGAAATGAACGTACGAACGTATTATTATATTTTCTCATATCGATTTTAAATCATCTATTGTATTGTTTACAAAATTAAATGTTTGAAAATTCTATATATATTTACTATTGTAATTTATTTAATAAAAATAATATTTTCCGTATGTGTAAATACAATGATTTTACTAGGACACGTAATATTAAAATAGCTACGTCCCAAAAACGAAATGTTCCCGTTTTCAGAGAAATAATTCTATCCGATAATATATGTATCTGACTGCTTCATTCACTCGCGAAGAGATTCTTACACCGTGACAACAAAAAGCCAATCCGTTGGGACCCTTACATCTGTTCAACATCAATGAAAGGAAAGAAGAAAAAATCGAATAAAAAAAGGGGGGAGATACAATCCGTTCTACCGCGAGCGATAAATCTCGAAAGGCAGGAATGATAAATCCGCCTCTAGCTTCTAGAATTGTCGGGTTACGAAAGAGGACGAGGCGGCACCATAAAAACCCTCGCGCCTCTCGGATCTTCGCCTCGTGGAAGGGGCATCAATCTTACCTGGCAACGGTGTCGTAGCACCCTTCTCCTTCTAGGAACTCTACGTAAACCGTGTGTTGCGCTGACGGTATGGGCAGCGGCGTTGTTGCAGGACGCGTGCTTCAAATGGCAGCAGGACGAATTTCCGGAAAAGTTCGGAGCCGGCTGCGTTGTAGACGCGTTTAAATAGCTGCCGCCGCCGCCGCCGCCGCCGCCTCCGCCTCCGCCACCGCCACCGCCGTTGCCATTGCCGTTGCCATTGCCGTTGCCGGTCGAGGTGGATCGTGTCTGGCTGGTTCTCTGGTCCGGCGACACAGTCAATTTCACCTTAATCGTCTTACTGCCGCACGGTGGTACCTGGATGGAAGCACCCAGAGTATCGTAAATGGTAGTGACCAGGCCGGCTATGTCGTCCTTTGTTATCTTTCCGTGGCCGTCGAAGTCGTACAGGGTGAACGAGAATTCTTGCCGTCTTCGGTCACCCTCTGCTACCGAAACGTCGCATTCAAATTCCTATAAAAGGCGCCGAGGGATTACGTTTCGTTTCAAAATCGTTATCGTAGAATTCAACGATTCCAAATAAGCAAAAACAGTTTTTGGATGTTTAGAAGTTGAAAGACTCGTTAGAGTATAACTTAAGGATGTATTGGCTATACAATCCCAAAAGTTTATGTGCCTTAGAAAAACGCATTTCCTATAATTAAAAATAGTGTATTCTTCTTCTAATTTCGATATTT